AAAAATAAGAGTAAAAAAAAAAAAAAGAAAGAAAGAAAAAAGAAAAATAAGAGTGCCAATGAATTGCAAAGCAAAAGCCAGGGGGGAGCCAGTGGCCCTGGGGTGCTCCCTCCTGGCAGGCTGACCTGACTTCACTGTTCCTTCCCCAGATGCAGCCGTCTGATCTGGCCACAGCTCCTGCCCCCTCAGGAGGACCTGCAGGACAGGAGGCCCGCAGCCAGGAGGACCAGAGGCCATGTGCGGCTCTGGACCACGTTCCCATGCCAACGTCCAGCTTGTGTTGATGGGCTCCAGGAAGGCCCGCACTTCCCCCTGCTTTGGCAGCATGCCTGTTCTGAGCTCCCCAGCGGGGCAGAGCCTCTCCCTAGGCTGACCCGGGTACGGGCCTCCTCTTCTGGGAAAGGAAGGCAGCCTCGCAGCATTCCGTTTCTCAGTCTGTTCAGAGCACCACCTCAGATACTGACCACCTCACTGAACATGCTGGAGGGTCTTCTGCATCCCCTGCCTATGTGCTCCTTTCATATTGCGAGGGGAGCAGAGCTGCCTTGAGGCCTCTTAGAAGCTAAACCACCGTCTGGGGTTACCTCGGCAGTCTGGTCTGGGAGAGAACCTTTCTTAAAGCGGGCTGTGCCTGCAGGAACATGCAGCCAACCTGCTGTCTCTGCCTCTGTTACAACTGTGTGTGTGTGTGTGTGTGTGTGTGTGTGTGTGTGTGTGTGTTTAAATAAAGTATTGGCCAATTGCAGAAGGCTTCCTTTTGAATAAGAAATACGTAAAACTAGGCTTAAGTCTGTGTGATCCACATGGCCTTGACTCTCATACCACGTGAATACTCCTTGCTAAATGGCTAGATGTGTTGTGCTTTGTTCTGGGGCATTGGCAATAGGACTGAGTTTTAGGTGAATATGTGCAGTTTTAAGTTTATATTTGCATCCTTCTCCTGCAGCCTGAACTTACTCATTTTGGAAGGGGCTTTGGAGGAAGCTAACGGTCATGCTTATACCGTGACAAGCCATCTTGTCCTAAATGTATGCTGTCCCCGCAGTTGGGTTGCCTGGTGGGCTAGAAAGAGGGGGAAGTGCCACAAACACTTGCTGACCAGCGCTGTATCTGAGGACAGCATGTTCACAGCGGTGGGGAGTACACTTCCAGTGCTTCTGGGCGGGCTACAGCACCCCGTTATCAGAGGTGAGGAAATCAGACCTCCTCTCCCAAGACACAGCTTGGCTGCTTCTGTGTGCTCAGTCCAGTGTGGCTGATGAGACTATGCAGCCCTGGGTGCAGCAGGATAAAGCGTGGCTGAGGAAGATGCTGCCAGGGGATGCAGCGGGCCCAGAAGCTCCATCTGTCGCGATGGTGCAGCTGCCTGAGGAGTGAAAAGCCGGTCTCCATCATTTGGTCGACCCCTTGGGAGCCAAGGAACGCGAGGGAGTCAGGTGGAGAAGCACCAGGGTCGTGCTCAGCAAGGAAGGAAGCAAGCGCCTGCAGCCACGTGTGATCTCCGGAGACAAGCGGCAGCCTCTTCAGCTGGGTGGACTTTATCAGTGGAGGAAGGGGAGGAGTGGCATCAGCTAGTGTGACCGAAGTTTCCTGTTGCTGGATCCCTGATTACATTAGGAGTTAAGACTTGTGAATCACCTCGTTTATGTGTGTGTGACTGCAGATTAAACCTAGGGCTTTCACAGCGACCTATATCCCCAATTAATATATATACATATATATATATATATATATATATATAGAGAGAGAGAGAGAGAGAGAGAGAGAGAGAGAGAGACAGACAGACAGACAGACAGACAGACAGGATGTAAGTCACTAAGTTACTCTAGTAGGGGTCAAACTTGGAGATCCTCCTGCCGAAGCCTGCCAGAGCACTGGTATTATAGGCATGTGCCACCAGGCCCAGCTGGTGGCCTTTTCCAACCCTACCCCGTGGTTCTCAGTGGAGCATGCCTGCAGTCTGCCTACCTTATCCTCCAACATTCTGGGATTATACGTGTGCACCAGCTCTAGCCGCCAGAGTTTTTCAAGCAGCAATACAGGAACTTAAGTATCAGCGTCTCAGTAATTAAAAGAAAAAGAATTATAGCTGACCCAAAGTCTCAAACCACAGAGAAAGGTAGGCATGGCTAAGTATTCTGGGTCACGAAGAACCCAAGCTGTGGCTGCATGTGAGAGCTGCTCAGTCCGGGGGCAGCTCCCTTGTTTAACAGTGTACTCACCACTAGCTCTGGCACAGCCACAGCCCAGCCAGTCCAGGTAAGAGTGTGCAAGGAGGAAAAAGCCACCCACTGTGGCCCTCAGAGGGCCGGGGGAAAGTGTGTGCAGCCATGGCAGCCAGGGGCACTGCAGCCCGAGCCAAGCCAGCCTGCCCACCTGGCAGCTGGGTCTGGCCTACAGAGCCTCCTGAGCCTGGCAGAGCCCATGGGAGCGGGTTGGTGCTGTCACAGCAGGCAGAAGAGGGGGCTGGGATTCTCTATAGAGGTGTGGAGTGTGGCAGCAGACCTCCCTGTCCTGGAGGGACTGCAAAGGAGGCCCCCACCTTGGAGGTGCTAACAGCGCAGTGGAGAAAGTCCACTGAGTGGAAGCGAGGTTGGTATCGGAGCCCAGGTCAGGCTGGTGGCCACTGACCTGGAGCCAGCCTGTGCCCTCTCACCTTTGCCCAGGCAGCTGGCCCTGATGTCCAGACAGCTTGAGGTGGGAAAGGAGGACTCGGAGCTGGCCCCTTCCCCAGGCACTTACCTCCCAGGCCTCCTTTCAGCAGGTGAAGCAAACTGCTGTAAATAACTGTGTAACACATCTTAATCATTTTCTAAATCTCATCGCCTTGTACATATTTGCAGCACCTAATGCTTGTGTTCCTTGTGTGCAGTTGGTGCAGGACATGAGACACTCCAGTTCCTTTCATTAACCAGTTGTCATCTCCTCCATCTGTTGCTCCCCTTACCCTTTGTGAACAGTGTCTCCCAAATTCCTATTAGCTGTCTTTTACTTTGCTCTTTATACTCTGGGTTTCTCATGTAAGAGAATGTGATATTTAAGCATAGGTGTCTGATTTATTCCCCTTAACATTATTTTTTTTTAATTGTATTTATTTATGTGTGTGTGTGTGTGTGTGTGTGTGTGGCCAGCTCAGCCCACCAGGGGGCGGGGCTGGCTGGCATGTGGTGTTGGGGATTGAACCGTGGTCCCTGTGCTTTGCTAAGCTTGTTCTAAGTAGGTGCTTTAGACCACTGAGCCATCTCACCAGCCCTCCCTTAACATTATGATCTCAAGGTGCATCCATTCTACAAATGACTCAAGTTCATCCTTCTTTATGATAGAGTAGTACTCCATTGTGAGTCAATTATCCATTCATCTGTTGATGGACAAACAGGCTGCTTTCAACTTAGCTATTATGAATTATGCCACTGTAGACATGGTTATGTATGTATCACTGTAATATGATGTCTTTAACTCTTTCAGGAAGATGTCTACAAGAGGAATGGCTAAGTTGACAGAATTGGTAATTTTAGGTGGGTTTTTTTGTTGCTGTTGTTTTATCTCTTTGAGAGTCTTACCCCACAGTTCAGGAGGAACTTGAACTGACTTTGTAGCCAATGCTGGCCTCAAACTTGCATTAATCCTCCTGCTTCAGGCCCCTAAGTGTTGGGATTGCAAACATGTGCCACCACACCTGGCTCTCGTTTTAGTTTTTTTAAACTAAATCCATACTGATTTCTACACTGTTTGTACTAGTGTACATTCCCACCAACAGTGTAGAAACATGTCTTTTTCCCTGTAGCCACTCTAGTATTTGTTATTACAATTCCTGGATAGTTTTTATGGGGTAAGATGAAATTTCTGTTTTAATTTGCCTTGCTCCAACTTAATGCTGAGCATTTCTTCATGTATTTATTGGCCATTTGTACTCTTTCTGTGAAGTGTGAAGTGTTATTTCACTTGCCCACTTTTTGCCTGTGTCTTCCATTCTGGGGGGAGTGTCTTATTTATTTATTTATTTATTTATTTATTATTGATATAGTTCTTTGCCTGCAGAATCACCAGCAAATTTGTTTTTTTCCCATTCTGTAGGTTGTCTTTTCACATGATTGTTTCTCTGGCTGTGCACAGTAATTTATTCCCTTTTGTTTATTCTTAGAACTATGTCCTGTGCAATTAGGGCTCTCGCCTATCTTATCTTCCAGCAGGTTAAGGGTTACTGGCTTAACATTTAGTTTGTTGATGCATTTTGACTCAAGATTACTATATAGTGGGAGATGTGTGTAGATTCAATCTTCTGCATGTGGATAGCAGTTTGATGGACTGATGTTACCGGTAAATGTTATCCGTGTAAGTTAATAATTAAGAGCCACGCCATATTTCCTGTTTTCTATAATGAAGTTTCTGGTGCAGTTTAGATTGAAAAAATTTTCCACTTAAAAAAAAAAAAAATCTTAGAACCAGGCATGGTGGTGCCCAACTGTAATTCCAGCTACCCCCTACACAGAGGCAGGATCACAAATTTAAGGCCAGCCCCGGCAATTTAGTGAAAACCTGTCTCAAAATTAAAAGGAATGGGATGTGCTTTGTGGCAGAGCACCCTGGGGCTTCATTCCCGGGGCTGAAAAAAAAAAAGTTTGGTAACTGCCCTGGTAGAAAGGGCAGTGGCCTAGTTGGCAGGTCAGGAGCGGCCCAGAGGGACTGTCTCATGAGGACACCGTGGAGCGTGTGGTGCCTCTGGACCTCAGAAACAGACCAAGACGACTGGTGGATTGCTAGGGTTTATTACTACTTCCCACGTAGGAGGAAACCTGAACAATGACAATTAGTTTCATGCAGAGTTGTGCGGCCACACCAGTACCCACCCCACCCAAACTGCGCGGACCTGTCAGCCCGGTGCCGGCTGCTCTGGGTCAGATGCCCCAGTGACCCCAAGAAATGGACAACCTGGAGTTTTCCTTTGAAACATTTCCAGATTGAGACTTTGCCAAAGAAACTGACAGGTCACTTCAGGCCGAACAGGTGCTGCCTGGGCGCCCAGTGAGGACACTGCCCCTGGGGACCGTGAGCGCTGCCTTCTGCAGATCTGGGGACGCTGGGCAGAAGGAAGTCAGGGCACAGCCCTGGAAGGAGCCCTGGCCCAGCTGCTTCCTCATAAAACCTGGGGCTGCGCGGGCGGAGGCTCTCTAGGGACTCCCTGGGTTCCCGCCAACAGCTGTGCCTACTCACTCCGGCCAGTCCACGCGCAAAAACAAACCAACCACACCCAGAGCGCCCACTCTTGGCAGCTACTGCCCCCTGGTGGCCGACAGAGCACATTACCACCCAGTCTGGTCCCGATAATGCGTCCGCAAAGCCCACGTCCGAATCCAGGGTTCACGTAAGAAGCAACAATTTGCCCGGTCCTTGCAGACCTCGGGTGCACAGATTAATTTTAGCCCTTGCTTCATGACACGCTTACGCTTTGATCATTGGCCTCTTTCCTCCTGATTACTTTTTATAGTGTAGGCAGCACTGAAACAAGAATCATGCCAGCAACCTATGCTTAATTGTTATCTGTAACTTTCCCATCTCATCACTCCAATCTCTCACCTCCCAAGGTAACCACCCGAACTCCCTCTCACCGCATATTCACTTTTCTTATTATAGTTTTATGATAGCTTTACCTATTGTTTTACAAGTGCATATAATTATGGCAGATCATATTTAAATGTAGATACACATTTCATCCTCTTGTTCCATATCCTCATCTGTCCACCACTGCAGTACCAGCCTTGCAAGAACTGGGACCATTTCATGCCAGTGTAAGTCAAGAGTTGTGCCTCTGTTTACACCTCTTAGCTGTCACCTAGGACATTTTCCTGTGGATGCTGTCAGGGGACCCAGTCAACCCCATACATACGCAATCTTCATGTACTGGGGAGTTCATGCCCTGCAGGGTGTGGTCACCCAGCGTGAGACGGGAATTCATGGCTTCCTCCTCTCTCCTAGGACTGCTGTAAGGGCAGTTACATTTTGTACAGTTTCTGGGAGGACAATTTCATGGGGTAGAGCAAATCAGTCGCACAGTGGTGGCTAATTCCGTAGTGCAACCACACATTGGCTGCCCTTCCCTACTTCACGGGTGACAATTGTGGTGGACTTTTATGGGTGACCTTGAAAGATAGTAGCAAAGGGAAATTAGTGGGTCCCCTCAATATCTGTGAAGAATTCATCCAAGCATTCTTCGGATGCCACAATCAACGGACCTTCTAGTTCTGTGTAAAAGAAAAAAATGGTGTGGCTGCTTCCTGGTCACCATAAGAGCAACTTTCCTCTGGCATATTCCCCTGCCATGCCACTTCTGCCTTGGAGCACGTTAACCATGGACTTAACCATAAACTGAGATAAACTGCTCAGAAATTCTGGCCAACTCGAGCCTGCTCTGTTTTGTCTCCCGTCAGCATAGGGCAGCAGAGGTACCAACCAACCTAC